TTTGGGTAGGGAACGGTTCCAGCCTGTAGATTAAAGGAGGGAAGGAGAGGGCCAGGAGAACAAGTGCTAGTTACCACCTCCTCGGCCCATGAAACCAGCCCAACCTGGACACGTGAGACTAACCATCCCTGCGTGAGCGGCTCACGGGGCAGAACCATGTGGAGATGCCTGGCAGGACAGCTCTGGCTCAAATACTCACCCTCGTCCTGCCCTTCGTGCTTACAGTGCAGAGACACTTGCCGCCAGAGGCTGTTGGCAGAGGTCAGCATGGCCTTTCCCCTGCGTCCCCAGCGTAGGAAAACTGGTGAGGCCTTCCAGTCTACCAGTTCCTACGGGAATGAGGTGAGCCCAGTGTCGTAAGTCAAGGGATTAGGGGAAAATGCAGGGCAGCTCCCCTTTGGAAAGATGCCCCACTGTCAGGACAGACCACAGACATCTGCTAGGACAGGACACACTGCCTGGTCTTTGGAGAAGGCTGGAGATGCCTGCGCATACTTGCCAGTGGAGAGTGTGCCCAAGGGCACTTGCACGCGCAAGCTGGGCAGGTTGAAGGCTGCCAGCAGCTACTCCAGATGCCAAGCCACCCCCTCTGAGCACATCTTCAGACCTGATCTAGTAAGGGACGATGCAGAAACTGGGCTTCCTGTGCCAGTGAGTATGTGATGATCCAGGTTGTAGGTGAGTCAACACCAAACTAATCCCACCTCTTTCTTGATGTCCAACGCCACTCTTGCTGCTACCCTGAATTTCAGAATAGAGCTTGAAAGCCAAAAATCAGCTCTCCCTGAAGCAACATAAATTCCATCAACATTTCCCTTAGCCCCTGCTAGAGTCACCAGGGGAATTTACGCTTCTCAGGAGCCTTGGTGTGGCACCTATCTGATGAGGCAAGCCCAGAAAGCTGGTGCATGCGGTGCGTGTTTGTATGGAGGATACTTCTCCATTTTAATCTGTTGGCTCTTTTCTCATGACTGTGTGCGTCCTTCGGCCATGTACCCCAGGCTGGCTAAGACCCAACCTCCTGGAGCAGAAAGAGGCTCCCCGTGCCCTGGCTTCCTCTTTGCATCAAATACAGATAATTGTGTGATTGTCCTTCCCAGTAAAGCTCATTCAGAACCTGTTTTAAATTGGAAGGGGCGCAGGGGGAGGGCAGGTAATTACATTATTTTCCTCAGGAATTGGTATCCAGGGTCAACACAGCATTGCACAGCCTCTCGCCAGGAGGAAAACAGCCCTGGTTGGTCTCTGGGGGGCTGCACAGCAAGGTCTGGCCTGGGTTAGCAGCTTTGGGAAGAGTGAGCAGGGAGGATGCAAATCAGAGGGTTGACAGGAAAGCCTGATCCTGAAAAGTAATGACACCTAACACACACGCAGAAACACTTATGAATAATCTTTGTCTTAGCCAAGCAAGGAAAGAATTTGGAGATCTTTGCTTTCGTGAGGGCTGCCGGTGGCAAACCATTGTCTGGTGAAACCCTTGTGTGTAGGAGAGGTTAATTATGTGACGTGACAAGGTGAGAAATGGAGAGGACACAGATTGGAGGTGACAGATCATTACTCAGGTTATGGCTGAGAGAAAGATGCAGAAAGAGTACGAAATTCAGCAGGGGTTCATTTCCAGAGGCAGCACCTGGTGTCTGGAAAAAAACCAATGGGTGACCACCACGAGCACATGTAGCACGGTCTCCTCTTCACTTGTTCTGGTCTAAAAGCAGGGAACCGGGATCACCAGCCAGTTCAGAGCACTGACGATGCAAGGACTTTGCTCTTGTGACTTGGGATCTAAACTTGTCTCTGATGGTGATGGGCTCTGGCAGCGTTATCCTGTTCTTCACAGAAGTGGAGCACCTGGATATGGTTCACCTCTGTTCCTCTGTGCATTCAGGTCTTGGTGTTTTGGTGGCCTCGTATCAAAACAGAGCTGATGACGTTTATCCTCTGCAAAATTATCTTCATGGAAAGCAGTTGAACTATCTGGGAGCTGTTATGAGTCTGTATAGACAGCACCAACTCCAGGCACGTGGAAGATTAAAAGCTGACTTCAAGAGCAACTAGAAGCACCAGGAATCCTCTCCTGGTGGCTCAGGAACAGCAACACAAGCCCAGGCACATATAGCTGTGAAGTTTGGCACCGAAGAGCTGTTTTTTCTGAGGAACCAAGAAATATGGTCTTTCTTGCCCAAAAAATTCAGGTGATGCGACAGCTCTCCCCTGTGGAGGAACCGATCTTTTGGTTAAAGATCTCACCCAGGAAGACAGTGGCAGGTTCATGTTCCTCAGAAAATACAAACTCATCAATTCCTTGGGCAAATGCAAATGCAAAGATTATAGGATATGGCAAGTCACCTCTTTCTTCTGAATGCTTTATGGCCCTTTGAGCACTGCAGTTTGCTGTCTGTGATACTAGTGACAAAAATTCAAGTTGTCTTTGTCCTGGAAAATGGTCTTAACATTGTACTCAATATGTGGTCTCGGCTACGTTCCTCGGAAAATCTGAAATCTGACCTGATGTTGGTGTGACATGGGCAACAAGGAGCTCAGCACTTCAGAGTTTAAACAACTGTCCACCTGCAAAGCAGCAGATACACAAACACTCACAAAGCTCTGCTGGCAGGAATTGAGATGTTAGAGGACTTCAATGTGCCCCCAAGGTCAGCTAGGGACCTCAGTGGCATGCAGGAGTATTGTCCTAAATACCATTCAGTTTTTGGCTGCTGTTTTAGGGTGTTCTAGATCTTTTTCACTCTTGTAGTCTAGAGTTTGGAGGACGAGGCGTCAGCACTGTGAAAGTATGGCAGGTGGGCCATGGCGACACACGGGAAAGGATGCAGGGCATTACCTACACCAAGGGATCCTCTTTCCCACTGCCTTTTTCCAGTATCTACATGGAAATCCCTAGAGCCCGGAGATGTCAAGCACAACCTGGCTGCAGGTCTTGCTTGTCCTAGATGAAATCTCCAGGCTCCTCACTGAGGAGGGTTGGACCTCCCCACATTTAACCTCTTCTGTCTGCTCTTGCACAGCATCACTGAGGGAAACCCAGGAGACTGAGCACTGCTTGATCCTTCTCCCATCCATGTCCACCAACCAGCTTCAGTTTGGCCTTGAGTTAGGTCTGCAGACCTAACTTCAGCAGATGGCCTGTGACACCAGTCTGATGACCATGCTGCAAGCTCACCTCCTCACTCAGCATGATAAGGACTCTCCTTTGCTTTCTGGCAGGGTGGTGTCACACTACCAGCAATGAAAGTCACAGTAAGGGTAGAGGAACTGAGCTGCTCCTGCATCTTTCCACGTGTGTGGAGCAGCTAGGAAGAAGCACCATCTCCACTTGCACTGATAGCTCCAGCCAGCATAGACCAAACGAGCATGTTCAGGCAGTAAGTTAGGACAAGGAGGGAGCAAGGAGCCACCTGGAACTTAGTCACAACTGGGTCCCTGCTGTACTCACAGGTTGAAGGCACCACGGGCAGGTCTAGTCCTAGCCTGGGATGGAGGAAGCAGATGGTCAGGGCACCTTCTGAACCATAAGAAGCCTCCTGGGCATCCATCTCTGAAACATGTCCTGCTGCTAAGCCAGCTTCTGCTTCTTCCCCTGCGAGGTGCATCTGCTTGGATTTCCACTGACACAGTTCTGCCCACTGTTTTCTGTAATGCGCTGAGAAATGCAGATCCTTTAACATCGGCTGCTTCTGCTCTGGGCTACAAGATTTCTCCTTCATCCTCCTCAGTTGCTGCATTTGTTGAGCCACCTGCCAGCCCAGGACATCTCTGCACAAAGCTGGAGAAAGGCCAACCTCTTTATCAGATGCAGTAGAATTGCAAAGGACAGAAGGTCATGCAGCTCCGAATATGCTGGGCTCCGAGATAGACAAGAAAGCTTGTCTCTGTGGCTGTAAAAAAGAAAGGAAGGTACCGGGGAACAAAAACACGAGCAGAGCCATCCCAAAAGACTATGGATAGAGCTGTGGTAGCAAGACCGACTGCTGAACTGGCCAAGAGGACAGACACACACTGCATTTAC